AGTGCTTGATCTTGCACAATCCAAGATTCATACGCAGCAGAAACCTTGTTCGCTATACGATTTTCTTCTGAATCAAAGATTGGGGGAATCTGTGGATTCACGACAAATTTGTGAAGTTTGTGAGAAAGTATGATTCCTTCAACCTGTTGATTCCAAAGGAGGAAATTGTTCTCTTGGAGCTTGATGGAGAGTCGAGGTCTAAATCCATTGTTGCCAGTGGAGAAGGAAGTGAATGAGGTCTGTAATTCTTGATTATCAGTCGCCATGGTTGCAGTGAGATGAGGATGAAGAACAAGAACCAGAGTTGCCGCGGAAAGAAGTGAGAAACCACCAGGAAGAGAGGAGAGACGAGCGGAAGGAGGATGGATCGATCACGATGATACCATGTTAGAAGATAAAGAATGCTCTGCATTCAACAATCTACACTCTGTGTAGATTCACTAATTTCAAAACTTAGTTCTTTTACAGCAGAAGATAAGAACTATATACTATTTTTTTACAAGTGGACCAATCTAACAACCTTCACAACTAACTCCACTAATTGCTAACAGTCTAACAGATTCTCAACAGAAAATCAATTACAAAAATACAGCTGGACTTATACACCTATTTTAATATATATATATATATAATATTATGTATTGTCGAAGATGTGCTTAGCAGAGGTCTGTCCCATCTGGTTTCCAATAATAAAATTAAGTTAATCCAAGCTTGGAGAGGTATGAAGGTTCTATCTCATGCGTCGTAAGTTGATGACATCATGTTATTCACCAAAGGTTGCACTAGTTCTCTCGATGCAACTGCTGATCTTTTCATGAAGTATTCTGCTTGCTCTGGACAGATTTGTAACCCTTCTAAATCCATTATGTATACTGGTTTTGTGTCTTCTTCTAGGCATATTTTTCTAGCGGACTGGATTGGGTTCTTGGTGGGGCACTTGCCTTTCTCTTATGGGTGTTTAGATTTTCAAAGGGAGGCCGAAAGCCATTCACTTTCTTCCTACTGTTGACAAAATTAAGAGTAAACTTGCGGCTTGGAAGGTTAGTCTTTTAACTGTAGATGGTAGAACTCAATTAGTAAGATCTGTCATTCATAGTATGCTGCTGAACTCTATCAGAATTTACTCTTGGCCTTCTAATATCATTCACTTGGTTGAAAAGTGGTGTAGAAACTTTATATGGAGCTCCGACATTCAAAGAAGAAAAATAGTAACGGTGGCTTGGAAGAAGTGTTGTAAGGATTATATTAATGGAGGCATGGGTTTAAGGTCTCTTAGAATCATCAATGAAGCCACAAAACTTAAGCAGTGTTGGACCATCTTTAACGAGACAAATTATTGGAGTTTTATTTTGAAGGCCAGAATGTTCAAGAATGGGAGCTTATGAAATAACATTCTCTTCTTCTATCTGGATTGGTACCTAGGCCAACTTGGGTATTTTGTTGGATAATTCTGTTTGGAAGATTAGAAATGGGGAAAAATTAATCTTTGGAAGGACAATTGGTGTGGTCAACCTTTAGTTTCTCTTATGCAAATTCCTGAAGATAAAGATCAATTTCTGAAATCTATGTTGAGTGATATTGTTCAGAACAATTCTATAGTTCTTCCTGACAGGTTAGCCCAGCTGCTTCCGGTTTTGCCACAGCTAGTCTTGGATTTGCACATTAATGTGATGCTCGAGGATAAGCTCATGTGGAACTTGAATAATAGCGGCCAAATTTCAGTTAAAGACGCGTTTAATCATTTGAAAGATCATTCTCAAGTTTCGGGTTGGGGTAGTCTCATTTGGTGTTCTTTTATTCCACCTTCAAGTTCTTTGGTTTTTTGGAGGTTGACTCATGCGAAGCTTCCTACAGGCAATAAGCTGGTTTTACGAGGTGTGCGCATGCCTACAGTCTGCAACTTATGTCTCAATGCAGAACTGTAATAAGGACTGATTTCAGAATCACGTTATCCCTTGGAAGTCCTCTTGCAATATTATTATTTCGTTAACTTCCATGGTTGGCAACAATTGCAAGTCTATTGCCAACTCTTCTATGCAGGAGTTTGCGATCTTTAAAAAAAAATCATTCAAATTCATGCCCCTAAGCCAAGGTTTTAAGAGAGATTTTGTGGAGTCCTCCACAAACAGGTTGGATTAAAGTCAACATTGACGGAGCATCTGGCGGTACTCCCCTTAGAGTTGCTTGCGGTGGAATGTTCAGGAATCATCTCGGCGAATATTTTGAACAATGAATATATGTGGCTCAAATCTCATTTGCTTAGATATCTAGGAGTTGAGAAGGCGTTTGAGATAGACTTCATTATTTAGTCTATCATTCCATCAGTTATATTGAATCTCTATTAATACTTAATCATTCATATCTGAGACTGTTTATTTCACAATCAAACTTTTGTTTATCATTAGTAGAGTAAAAATGTGAAATCTCGATAGTTCAAATAAGTTCAAAAATCATTAATAAAAAGAGAGAGAAAATATTGAGTTTTGGTGTTAAGAGAACTACTCATTCAACTACCTTTTTTTATAGAAAATATCTAAAATAACAAAAACAAAAAATGAAAATGAAATAAAATAACATAAAAAAGTAAAAATCATGTAAGTTGCATCCTATTTAGCGTTTGTTTAACGTCATTAACTTGACATCTTATCATCTATGTTAGGGTGATATATATGACACAGAACACACTATTTTTTTTTGGATAGAAATCTCATGAAATTCAGGTATAGATGATGTTGCTTCCAAATTGTTCTGGACTGGGCCTGCTCTTGGCCCAATTTCATGTGAAGTCCAATCCAAATTTGTCGGTCAAGGCATGCTGACCATATCTACGTCGAGCAATAACTCTCATTCTCCGCGAGGAGGCAACCTCACCACAAGGGGACAAACCCAGATGGTCATAGGGAGATAGTCATCGGTCAAGAGCACCTCGAGGCCTTCCTCCAATCCCCTCCTCGACCAGGACTGATTCTCCTAGACAACCTCACACATGGCGGGGAGCATCCACGACGAGCAGAGACACCTCACGGACATCCTCCTCGTAGGGCTGACTCTCAACGTCTCCGATTATCACGGAGTCCTCGTGGCCCCGGAAAGACCGCATCCATATAAACTTAGATTTATATTTTTATATAGTTTATTTATTTTTTACAAAAAAATTATTTCATTTAATCATACTTTATTTTACTAATTGATTAGTAAATTTAATTAGAAACTAAGTTTTTTTAGTTATTTTCTTTTACATATTTAAAATATATTTTTTTAATATATAAAAAAGACCAAAAAATATTGTATAATACCATAAATTATTTTTAAGACAAAAATACCAAAAATATTCTTCTTACAAACTTAATTTCTTTTTTTAATCGATTAATAGATTAGAGTTTTATTTATATTCTTTTCCTAGTAAATTTAGGTTTACCTTTTACAAATTTAATTATTTATTTTTCTTTTAGTTAATTAGGTTAAAACAAAACCCTTTTCCCTAAAAAATTCAAACAAAAAGTCCATTTCCTTTCCATTTATATTCTTGTATATTTATTCATTTTTGTACATCACTTATCCAAATTCAATATGGTTGTAATAGATAATTAGTTTTATTTTCTTGCAATCCCCATTTGAAATTTATACACCCCCCCCCCCCCCCCTCTCCCACAAGTATTGTAATAGTGTAGTAATTTTAAATTTCATAATTTATCGCTTTATACAACTGCTAGTAATTAGGGTTTGTATGGAAAGATAAAATCAACAAGTAGCAAACACTAATCAAAGATCAAACAAAACATGAAAATTAATACACTTGCACACAAGCACCCCTAGGGTAAAATCCACTTGGTTGCCTTACAAAATGGCCATGTTACGCATGTGAGGTATCTTAGCAAAAACAAACAAATACAAGATCATAGTCCCTCGATGACGCTATCAAAAGTTGCCTTTCAAAATGATCTTAGTCCCTAGAGAAAGATGCTAAGATGCCTTGCAACATTTCTAATCATGGTTATACGATGAACCACGCCCGTCCCGTTTACATCCAAAGATAGGGTTACTTACCAAATCAATGGTAAGATAACAATGTCAAAGGAAAAAGGAAATGAACATGAAAGACATTTGAGTAGGTAGAATGTTCCTAGTTACTTGCTCAATTTCAAAACAAAACATCCTTACTATTTTCAAAACAAACACCAAAATATCTTTAAAACTTGAAAACATTTTCAAAAGATCAACACTTTATATACATTCTTACGAACGAGAATCATTACAAAGTTTGCCTAAACGATGGCGCCTTTTCAAAATACTTTCAAAAACCACACAAAGCACATTTTCAAACAAAAGCAAGTGATCTAGCAAGTAACTAAGAGCCCATGGAAAACCATGGATGAAAAGGGTTCTAATACCTTTCCTTTTCATAATCTACCCCCCGAACTCAAGAAATAATCTCAAAGGTCTTTCATGTGCCTTTTCACCTTTCCTTTTGGATAAAAGAAAAGTCGGTGGCGACTCTTGCTAACCGCAATATTTGCGATAAAACACAAAACATCCAAGTCAATTCTCTCACTGCATCACACTCATGATCATGTAGAGAAGTATGGGATCAAGAATTGCCCAAAAATCCAAAGATCTCCTGATTAAAATCCAAACCCTAGCTTTGATCCTCTGTGCTAGGAGATGGTGAGATGAAGGCAATTGTGCCATTACCTACAATATAATATTCCAAGAGATAAAATATACACATTTTGAGGTTAGTTAAAAGCATACAAGTAAAAAGATATACAATTCAAGGTGCTCCAAGATGCTTGGGGATTCTCATAGGCAAACCTAAATACAGGATGCAGTAGGAGAAAAACCCCAAACCCTAGTTTGTGATCTGGTTGCATTGTGATGGCATGAGATGATAGAAGAATCTTAGGGGGGAAAACTGGGGTACAACAAAACACGCATTCATAATATCATGCATTTCATTGTTCATATCAGAAGTTTATTGGGGCCTTCCTGTTTACCAAGTCTCACTTCAGGTCAAGAGCTACCTCGTGTTTATCCTTTTCAACCTCGGATTCCAGAAACTCCCCGCCCGCAACCATTGCATATGACTCATCCAGTTCAGGGGAATCAAGTTCTAGGAAGAAATCAATTCTCAAATCGGTGCCAACAACAGAATTACTCTCAGTAGAAACAACAAAAGCAAAGGAAGCCATAAAGAAAGCTGGATGCAATTCATATGCCTTACAATCAACTACTTCTTCTCTTACTTCATTATCAATTGGTTGAGATAAGAGAGTTTGTGCCTCTTCCAACATCACTTTATTTAGGATACGATGCAAATGCAAGATGCAGTTTCCACTTAGAGGCACCTGGCCACTCAATTGAGAACTATCGAGCTTTGAAGAACAATGTGAAAAACCTGATTGAGTTAAAGGCAATCACATTTACTCCAAGCGGTTTACGTTTAAACTGAAGTCCCTTGCTCAGAGAGGTGCCAAGACTACAAAGAGCATCCCCTCAAATAAGTCAAGCCTGAAGAAGTCTCCTCAACATGGAAATTTCAAATTTCATTTGCATTCTCATTTGTAATCTTTCTTTTTTTGTTCAAGTACCTTCTTGTATGCCAAACTTGTTCATCTTTTGAATATTAATCATAATATATCGAATATGTTTGTCTTGAATTAATCCATTCGTTACCACTCTTGTTTGTTTTACTATGCTTTTTGATACTCAACTCTTGTTAATAAACCAACAACTTTGGAGGGAGGATGACGAATAATTTACTTAGAATCTGAAATGGTATGCTTTCGAGTAAAAACTCCACTGATGATGTACATGCATTGTTTCAAAATCCCAAACATCAGAGATATAAGGGAGATAGACCCTAGTCAACCCCTTTGAGGCTTGAAGTATGAGTTTCTTTTCTGTTCAAAAAAAACCCTTAATTTTAACCCGGGGTCAGGCAGTTTTTCAGCTAACTAGATCGAGCATTCAAATCTCAAAATGATGTGAACATCTGACGATCACCACACCTTATCCCTCGCATTAGGAGGTCGGAAAAAAGATCAAAACCTTAGTGGTTATTTCCTTGCATCAAGAGGCCTAGTCAGACGTGATATCATAATAGTTATCCCTTATTGACCAAGAAATGAGGCAGTCACAACCCTTCCAAAAAATCAAAAAATCTAGGATCACACGATTTGATCAAAAGAAAAATAATGAAATAAAAAATAAAATAAAATAGAAAGCCCGCTAAGTCGAAACTTGAAAACAAGTTGCTTAGGCAAAAGTTAGGACATCCCACTGGACTTCAAAATCAAAATTCAAAAGAATTTGTCCAGGAAAAAGTTAGGGAGAACAAAAGAATGAAAATCATGAAAGGCAAAAGAAGGATTTCCAAAGAAAAATCCTTTGCAAAAGAACAAATTCGTGCGATTAGATACCAAAAAAAAAAAGGTGAGTGACTGTCATGTCCAAGAAACGTCAGTAATTCCTCAACCATCATGAAATCCTCTTGAGAGATGAGTGCTCGTTTCGAGATAGTTGAATTTAGGACTGGAGAATATCATGGAGAATGGGTGGTCACCAAATAACTTTAAGCCTTAAATCCTCTTTTCTAAAACCGTGAACCAAGCCATGTTACAATCCTGAAAAGTCCTAACTGAAGCATGGGTTAATTCGAAAGCAAAACTGTAACGAGAGTACGGTTATCTGACTCCTAGGAGGCTTGCTAAAACTTTTGAGTTGGTATCACTCCATCTTTTACTATCTTTTGTACACAAATATTTAATGTTTTTACATCTTTTCAATAAAAGTTTTCTAACTTCAAGACAAGCATAGGATTTGCATTAGAATTATCATTCTTAGAAAAACATTTTTTTCATATGAAAAAGTGCTTAAACATCAAGTGAGCTTGCATAATGAGCATCAGATGAAGAGTTTGATTATCAAGAGGGACAAATCTATCGAAAAGCAAGTCATCTTAATGAATGATTTTATTCTGGGGAAGATTTTCTGGTGACTCCATTGAGTAAAAGAAGACCAATTTGAGAAATGATAAGAAGCAGATTACTTGAGATCGTGATGTTTGTGTGGAAGTTTTGGTTGTCTACAAGACTCTGTTGAGCAGTGGCGCGTCACTTTCAGTTGGTCCTAAGGGACAAATTGTTTCAAGTTTCTGTTTGAGCACGAAGCAACTCAAGTTGAGAAGTACGGTTGGGTATTAGCCTACTTTCAGATCGTATGTCAACCATCCTAAGGGTATGTTGTCATACAAGACTCCGTCAAGCAAGAGGCATCCATTCAAAGTTGATCTCAACCTGAGGCGATCACGTCGAGAAATCCCTTCAAGTTGCCATCAACCTGGGGCAATCACGTCGAGGAATCTATTCAGAATTCTTTCAGCCTGGAGCAGTCACGTCGAGATTCGATAAATCTCTCCAAGAAATATGTAATCATAGACAATTTATTTCGTGACTCAAGACATTAGAGTATGCCACCTCATATCAAATTGTGGCGCGGATATTCCAGTGTTCTATTCAACACAGATTCTTTCAGAGAACCTACAGACAGGGGCATTTCTCCTCCATGCTTGTGAAGTTTCTCAAGCAAAATTCTGTCATGAAAGACAATTATCGACAATCAAACTAAAAGTGTCATGATGGTCACGTTGACCCAACTAACATTGCAAAAGTCGTCCTCATCCCCTGCAGATATTTAAAGTATACTCCCCGACAATAGAGCAAACTAGGGAACCCGAGGTTTTATGCGGCTCAATGCACATATTCAGCATGATTCCCCAGCAGCAGTGTAAACATGGGTACACTCAGAGTCTTCGTGTGATTCAGCACATGCATGTCACATGATTTCCTAGTAGAGTAAAGTTGGGGGACTCAAGGAGTTCTATGTGGTTCAACATGTAATCTCCACAGATGATCATCACCTAATCTCTAGCAGAGAAGCGATATCGGGGTAGTCGAAAAGATCCATGTCCATCTCCTAATCCCTAAGCAGTTCAAAGATGTATTTTCCCAGCATAAGATATAATTGAGGCATTCAAAGAGATCCAAATGTTCAACACGCGATTCCCCAGCACATCCGTATCCATTCTATCATCCTCAAGCATTTCATGATGTAGGGAAGTCATACCAAGTCACTTCCTCCCCCAACAAGTTACAATTCATCCCCAGTGAAGCCACTAGTAGTCTTTCATGTTGCAAGCTTTTCAACACCAATCCATATATGTATCTCAAGACAACGAGCAACAGTTCCCGATAAGCCTGTTCTTGTCTCCACAGAGTTTATTTCTCTATACTTTGCATATAGTTGTCACTACATAACGTTGCATCCTTAAAATGTGTAGCATATCCATTGAAATGGATCATTATGCATACAAAATTCAAACATGCATATGAAACATAAGTCAGATTTGGTATCCTTGCATGAAAGCCTGACTCATTCCTCCACCAAAACAATGGTAAATCCCCAGCTGATGCCCTTTACTGCATCAAAATCCTCAGTTAACGGTACCAGTACCATGTACCCCCAACCTCAGAGTTGACGATAATCACACCTCCCAACCTCAAAGTTAAAGACAATAAAAATGTTTTTCCGCCAACCTCATGGTTCACTCGAAGGAAATGCAAATTGGTGAAAGTACTTGAAGTTTCAAATTGAACAAGAGGAGGAAAAGTAGGATTGCTTTATTCATAGGATTCAAGGCCTTGCAAAATGCATTTTCAAATCTCATCACAAAATCCATTACCAACCATTGCAAAAATACATTACAAAGTTGGATATTACAAGTTATACAAGTGTTGACCATAGACCTAGGATCTATTGCAAAACAAACTTGGTGGATCTTGTTATATCTTCACCTCATCCCAATCTTCGAGTTTACTTCATCTTCATCATTTTTGCCGTCATGTGGGCTCAAGCATGCATCCATAATCCCCAAGTTCACTACCATGACCAGAGCAAGAAACCTTCCAAACAACCCCTGCAAAATCAGCTCACAGACCCAAGTGCATAAACCAAAATAGTCCATAAAAACCCGACGACTATGTCACAAAACAGTTTCGCCATGGCAACAGTTAAAAATCCAAACAGATTAGCATCATGCCCAAATAATATCCATAACAATTCAGCAGCCCTGCACGTCACACTTTCGAATCATACATAGACCATACATTCTAAATTCATAAACAATACATACATATACATTTACGATCACAGTTCATTCAAGCTCACACATACACAAAAAAATAAGAAATTATTAATCGCTTTTCTGTCCAAAATACGGCATCCAACACAGTTTACAAAGATAATTCAAAACTAGTTCCATAGTAGCTCAAGTATCTTGTCCATAAACCAGTTGCATACCAAGCCAAAACCAGTTCAAAATCTGGGTGCAACCTATCAAAACCAGTTCAAGTTTTAATCAGAAAACAAAAAAAATGGAGTGAAGCCTAAAACAACATAAACCATGTTCTCAGTACTGCATTGCAAGGAGAAAATTCAGTTCACCATAAAAGAGAGGGAACCATGAGTTTGAAACTCAAAATTAGAAACATAATTAAATTAGAAGGTGAGTATCACGCGCCCTTGCCATCTCATCCTAACCAAATTCCAAAATCAAAACAAACTCTAACAGAATATAACAGAAAACTAACTTAAGATTGAATCATTCTTCACAATCTGGAGAATCACACCAGAAAAATCTAGAAAATTCTCTGCATCTTTAACCTCTCTCTTTTCCATTTCACTCCACCTTCACTCTTTTACCTCTTCTCCTTCTCCAACCCTCACCATACGCTCATAATACATAGAAGCCATTGGAGCTTCTCATTAAAACTCCAATTGGTTGAGCTTTAACCTTCATCCATTCTGAAACTGCAAAAATGACGTCTTCATACATCTACATCACTAATACAACGACACTTCATTCTTCGACATCAACAACACGGAATGCACAAAGCAACAATATATATGTAGAAAGTTGAAGAAGAAGAATTTACGAAAACGAAGAAGATAAATAAAATAGGCTTGTACATTAAGTGCAAGAGTCTCCCCTCTGGTCTTCTTTTTATTGTCGTCTTCAAGCACTTCATCAACGTGCCAGAACAAGCCTTCATTTTGTAGGTAGGCTCTGATTCTCTTTCTTATGCGCGTGGATCTTGGCATTAGGATCGTGATTGTGTAGACTTAGGGTTTACAATTTCAGAGTTGTCTGATCCCTTTAATTGGTGAAGAATTAAAGAGAACTAAGTCTGAATCAGTGATTAGAGTCCAAATTAGAGGAAGGTTTGTGTTGGAATTTTTTCGATTTCACTGAGTTTGAAGGAGGCCACCGCCGGTGTGATTCACGTCGTCATGGCGTTTCAAGAAGAAGAACGAAGAGAGAGAAGCGAAGAAGAAGATGTGACATAAAGGAGGAAGTTAAAACGTAAAGAAGAGAGATGGAAGTTAAAACGTGCTCAATACCTTACCCTAATCTCAACCATACGCACCGTTTTCATCACATGTTGTTTTTTTGTTTTTTTTAGTGTATTAACAATGTAGAATAATAATCTGATAAAAGAAATAAATGGTATCAAATTGGAATAAATTTGATGGTGGGATTAGAATAGTTTGATGGCGTACGTAATTTGTGGATCATAGGCGCATGAGACTTTGCTGTGCGAGCCCAACCTTGTTTTTGGACAAAAAAAAACTTTCTGGATCCCTTTTCAAAGCCCAAGCATTTCAGCTGTGTGTCTAGACCTTTTGCTGGTCCACACTCCTAGCCTATCCTTGCACTCCATAACTTCTCCATTGGATTTTATATTTCTCTTTTAGTTAGGGATGGCAAGCAGACCCAAACCCGCGGGCCCCACCCGCACCCGCACCCGAGTCAACGGGTGAAACCCGAATTGACTGGGTTTGGGTTTGGGTTCGGGTGCCACCCGATATTTCGGGTGTGGGTTTGGGATAGCTTAAACCCGCACCCGAAACCTGAAACCACGCCCGCTTATATGTTAAATTACAAAACTATCCCTAAATATATATATATATATATATATATATATATATATATATATATATATATATATATATATATATATATATATATATATATATATATTACTTTCTTGCATAAAAAGATGTGAAAAATATTTAAATTATATTTATTAAAAATATAAATCTCTATGAATTTGCACAAATATTTTCAATTTTTTATTTTAATGGGCTATGTGTTTTGTGATGAGAAAATGTTTAGTTTTTTAAAATCAAGGATATTTTGACAAGTTCAAATGCTTTGGGAGTACATAGGTAAACTGGAGAGTATGAAATCAAATAAGACTATAGTGCAACCAATTACCAGAGTAGACCATATTTTATAAATTAATTCTTTGCACTAGTGTGTATTCTGATTTCCCCTAATAGTTGAAGTCGTGTGTGAATACTGATAATATAATTTGTGTTGTGCCACCATAGAGGTATACCTAGCGCCCCCAGTACTAGTTCTTTTACTATAATACCTTTTCCACCTAAAAAACAAATTCCATAATTTATTTGTTATTTTTAGAAATTTTAGAAAAGTTGTGATATTTTTTCGGATTTTTTTAATCATCTATCCGATATTTTCAAGTAAGTCCTTTTCATACTCTCCAGTTCAGCATTACCAAGAATTAAGTTACATGTTTTATATGTTTTAAGTTTCACATGTTTGTTATTACAATTTAAAATTATGATGATAATATCTATTAGTGTTTCTTAACATGTGAAATATATTTTCTTTGTAATAGGTAAAATAGATCAAGTGAACACAACTCCGGAGTCGGAAGGAACATCTAATCTTACACAAGAAAGTTGTAATATATTAGCTTGTTGTTGTTGAAAAGTTGTAATTTGATTGTAAAATTTAATTTTAATTGTAATGTTAAGATGTTGAAGACTATGTTAAGATAATTGTGATTGCATTTTCTTGAAGACAATGTAAAGAGACCTTATTTTAATTGTAATTTTTTTTTTTTGATTTTTGGTGCGGGTTTGGGTTTGGGTGAAAAAACCCGAACCCAACGGGTGCGGGCGCGGGTGTGATTTTGTCACCCGAATAGCCTTCGGGTTCGGGTTCGGGTGATGATTTCGGGTGCGGGTGTGGGTAGTGTGAAACCCGCACCCGACCCGTTGCCATCCCTACTTTTAGTTTTAATTTCATTTTTGGTAATAAAAATATATAGTAAAAACAATAAAAAATATTATATTTTTAGGTGATACTTTTAGGAATTGGTTAGGAATCTCTTTTCCCCTTTTCTATTTCTTTTTGCCAATTTAATCACTAATTTTGTTCGTTTTTGTCATGTATTCGTTTGCGATTCTTGGTATTATTTTTTATGGATTATGTGCGATATTTTGATACTTGTCGCTTATATATGTGCTTGTGATACCATGCCTCCCCATACAATTTTATTGCTTTCCCTTATTTATTATCGATCGATGAGTCACTCAATTAAAATTGAGATCACGACTTCGCTCTCAGTGCATGCTCCCTATAGGACTTTTTGCTTTCCTTTATTTATTATCGATTGATAAGCCACTCAATTAGAATTGAGATCACGACTTCACTCTCAGTGCATGCTCCCTATAGAATTTTATTACTTTCCTTTATTTATTGTCGATCGATGAGTCACTCAATTAGAATTGAGATCAGGATTTTGCTCTCAGTGCATGTTCCCTATAGGATCGTTATCTTCGCCTTTAGATCTATCTTTGTATTCTAACATTGGGTAGATCCTTCCTTTGTTAATCCAAAATTTAGGACCCCATTATATGCTAATATTAGGACTTTATTTCCCCATAGATTTTCTTTCTTTTGTATTTATCTTAAAACAAAAACTCTTTCTTATTCAAATTAAAAAAATACTTAATCGTACTTAAACACATTTAAAATGACAAAATACTTAACCAATTCAAACTCCCTTTTGCCTTCGGGCTTTTCTTTTGAAAACCTTTTCAGATAAGAACATGTTAATTCCTTTCTACGAAAAATGCGTGAGTCTTCAAAGATTGAGCGTCAGTAGAATGTGAAATTAGCATCGTTCATTAAAAAACACAAAACAAACAAAAACTTTTGAGTTGAACTACGATGCTCTGATTCCTCGAAAGGGATACGTAGGCATTAGGTCGCTGGGCCTAGGCGAGCAAAACTTTGTAAATATTCCTTCTTTTCCCCATATTTTCTTTTGGATGCATTCCATCTTAGCATTAAGCTTTAGACATAGATTTTTACACGCCCTTAGATTGGAGCAAACTTAAGTGGATCTTGTGGAGTACCATAGACGCGTGGGGTGCTAATACATTCCCATCACATAACCGACTTTCATACCCTTTCTCTTGGTCGCGATAACATCTTATTCATTTCTTTGGGGTTCTCTGGATATTTTCCATTCTTTCAGGATAAATAGAGTTTGGTGGAGACTCTGTTTTTTTCGCGGCGTGACATTAGGTACACTGCAAACAAAATATCACTCGCATACCATTCTTATCTCATATGGACTAGGTAACTCCTCTCAATATTAATCATCACAACTCAAGTATCACATAACACAATTAACTCGCATCAAGAATCACACATATACACATTGTAGGGAGTTACTGTAGCAATGCCATGTCCTTAATAAGGGCGCCGCGTATGTGAAACTATAAGGGGACCAACAAAATCCTGAAATGTGAAAATAGGGGGACCAAAAGTGCATTTAAGCCAAAATTAAAAAAAAAACACATAGCAATGTCACATCACATATTCCTTTAACTAAATCCACTCAAGGGCCAAAGCAGAGATATCTTAAAAGGGAAAGAATGAAATTTGTATTTTATTTACAAGAATGTTTTTTGAAATCGCCCCAAATGACAAAGAGTAAAAGATGTATCTATTTATATCTATTAAATCCAGTGCATCAAATTATTTTGTGACACTTCAACTCTTATCTTGCTACACTTCAACTCCTTTTTGTGCCACATCATTTATTTTCCTATGTGGCATCTCTCAAAATCCATCTTCAATTTTCAAAGGTTAAAACATATTATTATTTTTTATAACAGGTCAAGAGTTTGAATCCTCATAAATACAAAAATACAAAAATATATTATTTATTTATTAACTTTTGTTATTTCAAAAAATATCCTACTAATTTACTCGTAGTAAACTCATTATTATTATTTTAATGCAATATATTATTAGACAAATATAATTAAATTTTAACTAAATCTCAACAAATCATTTTTCAACATACAACTAATTTACTCATACATATTATTTTCATAAACTTTATAGGTACTATTCACATTTGTCTTAAAATAATTTCTTAATTATAAAAATGAAAGAAAAGATATTTTGATACATTTTTTACTTAGTATTTCTAATATAATTTCATAATTTTTTTTGTTAATTCTCTTCTCTGAATTATGTGATTGGCATTATGTTTGGTAAAACTAATATAGCAGCAATATGTTAGATAGGCTATGCTAACTTGATAACAAGAACAAGTTGTGCAAGAAGTCATATCTTATGTTGAGACATGTTGGAATGAGAAGTTCCTATCAGGTGGAGCAACATGTCAGATAAGATATCATATGAAGGAGCATACGACATCACGCCTGAACCGAGCTGGATTAATGAATTTTGTTATGATTTAACAGATGTAGAATATTCTGGGAATATTATGCAATTCTATGTGGCGATGTTTTATAGGTCAAGAAGATTGGAGAAGAATATTGAAGAATATGCACTTTCTAATTATGGAGATAAATTAGGAAGATTTAATTGAAGACCTATTATTATGCAGAATCTTATGCAGAATTGTAACAGCTGATGAGATATGATTGAGGGCCTAAATCTAGTTGGGATATAAGTTATAAATAGTAGTCTTTGTAACCTAAGAAAGGTACCATTCATGTTTTGAAAAGATGTAATCATTAGGGCTGAGTCTGTAGCCACTCTCAAGGAGAGTTGGTGTAAGTGAACCACTCGGGTTGTGAGATGGTCACTGTGTTCTCACTCATAAACCCATAGGTAATGAGTTTAGTATGTTTCTTGGAGGAAGCTTTTAAGAAACTCTAAAAATTGTTATTGATCAAAGTTGTGAAGAAAGAT